AAAAGAAAAGACATTATGGTAGTCGAGAAAAAAGATCGATTGGAAACTGGTAAAGAGGACTTTAAACTGCTAGTTTTGTGAAAAAAAAGTTAAATTAAATCAAAACAAAGTCTAAAGTAATTGGTGCAATAAATATAACTACATGCGTTCAAATGACAATAAATATTTTACTATGTTGTCGCAAATTCTAATTGATATATGCGATATTTTGTCAAACTTGGTAGAAGCTAATATGCGATGGAAATTGCTTAGTGCAAGCGGACTAAGCAATTGAAGGAAAATTAAAAAAAAAAAAAAAAAAAAAATCAACGACTGCGTGGTGGCTAATTTAATGCATTGCATTGGTTGTCATGATAATGACCAAATTATACACTTCGTCGATTGCAGTAAACGCGACAAAAATATGCACACCAATGACAGCACCACTGCCAGTATTGATTGATTTATGACACTATGAACAGCCCTATCCAAAGTATCCCATCATCACCACACTCACAAAAACTCCGTACATTACATTGAACTGGAATGCAATTGCTCCCAAATGTCACCAAGTTGAACTAATGCAGCTGACCTTGCTTGGAACGTGATTTTATGTACGAAAATTTTACCTTTTTTTAAAATATTTTTTAATCAATTTTTTTATATATATCAAATCGTTATAATATATATATTTTTAATAAAATTTCTTAAAAATACAATTCAAATGAATTATAAATAATTAGCTCAATTTCATATTGGTTACTAATTTTTTTTTGTTACATATTCAGTGTAAAAAATTCTTTACATTGTAATCATAGCTCAGTGGCTTTTGTTGCATGCAAAATTATCTTCGAGCTTGTAATTAATATTACAAGATCTTAAACTTGTTGGTGTTCATAATTATTCACACTACAATACGGACGGATAAGAGCCCAATCCATCTAATAAAATTTCTTTTTTCATCACAAAGGAAAGGGAAAAAAAAAAAAGACAATCCATGTATTTTTGGTTAGAAAAGAAAGAGTCAAATCCATCTATTTTTGGTTAGTTGAGGTGAAGACCGAAAAGTCCACAAAAATTAGGATTCGTAATTCATTGTACAATCACCTTTTTACTATATATATTAGATGTAATTCATTGTACAATTACCTTTTTACTATATTGGATGTACATTTTATGTTAGAAATGTATGTATACTTGGTATACTCGTAACTTGTGCCTTAAAAAAAAAGGAAAAAAATGGATGTATACTTGTACATAAAATTGGACGAGATGTCTTGCCTTTTCTTGAAGTTTGGAAAGATTAAAGTAGTCTCGCTTTGTTGCCCATGCTTCTTCATCAAATGCGGCACACCTTCAGAGAATCCTTTTAAGTGATATAGATGGAACTAATCAAATCATACTACCTAATCCGAATTAAAGCATTTTCTTGGTTTTTTTAGAACCTTTTCTTCTTGGTGATGTCCAAGGACATCTACTTGCAGCCATCAGTGCCTGCACAATAATCCTATTCTCCACACCTTCTGAGCCTGAACGCTGTCCTTGACATAATCTGGTGCCTGAACCTTGTCCTCGTGCATCCTCGCTAGGGCCAATCACTTCAGTGATTTCATGTTCTTGAATCCCCGGACTTGTTGGTGCAGCCATAAGTCCTTGCACAAAAACCCTATGCTTCCCTTCTTCTGAGCCAATCATCTCAGTAATTTCAAGTTTGTGAATCCCTGATTGACTGTACCTTGATTCTAGAGGTTCCTCCTGATCAGAATCAAATGCAAAATGCGAAACCTGCCTGTCAAGTTTCCCATGACCTGTCAGGGGCGGCGGACAAATTTCAAACGGTTCTTCCTCATCCTCTGAAACACAAGCAACATTGAACTGCCTATCTCCTCCATTTATCCGTTTGAATGCATCTGGAAATTCACGAACAACAGAAACTTTGCGTCTTTTTGGCAACATCGCGGAACACAGCACCAAATTAGTTTGCTTGTCCTTCGGCTCAAGAAAAGCTCCATCAACCAGCATAGCCTTCTCTTTCAACCACTGCAATTCTGAGTCTTCAAATTGACCAATAAAACTAGCCTCAAGCCCATCTCCAAATTTTGATTTGGTCTCCTCTGAACGTTCATTTTGGCTGATGATCCTACCATGTTCAAACTCTAGCTCACTTATTGGGATCACGGATTCTAAATTCAACTGCAGAGCTTCTTCCTTATCAGGGAAGGCCTGTGGTTGCTCACCATCAAATTCCAAATCATGAGATAAGAGGCCAAGTTTTATATTAGATTCTGCAACCAACACCTGAAGTTCCTTCTTATCAGGAGAAACCAGTGGTGCCTCCTGCCCAAATCCCAAACTACAAGACAGCTGATCGCGTCCTATCTCAGCTCCACTTCTAAAAAGCTCAATGATATTCTCTAACGGTTCAATATTATCCTCTAAATCCGAGGCAGTATCCTTCTTCTGATTTTCACTCCCAGTGGTTTTCTTTGGAAAATCCTTTTCTCCTTTCAGTTGCAAGAAGGCATCAGGAAAATCCCGAACTACCGATACTCTACGCCTTTTAGGTAAAGGATTAGGACTTATCACTGATTCACTCGTCCTGATCATTCGATGATCATAATCTACTCCTTCTACCTTAACATTTTCATTAAACAGCCCATCTGCAACCTTTACTGAGTTTGTAGCATTACAGGTTTCTTGCTCAGATTTATGATCAATCTCCGTACCCAATTGGCAAAACTCCAGCGGAAAATCACGTTTGCAAGACAATCTTCTTTTCTTGAACTTGGGAGATAAAACACAAGAGGATGGAGAAAATTCAATCTTTTGTGAACCATCATCCTTAACTGATGGAACCAATTTCAAATCCTCCATATTCTTGTTGAAAGATCAATGCTTAACGTATTATCAATTCCAGTTAGAGGGTTGGTATCAGATTGTAGAGTTGTTAATGAGGGTTCCAAGAATAGGAAGATTGGAATGCAAAAGAACTGTAGGGAAATAAAACAACTGTTTAAATGATGATGAAATTAGAGGGCTATTTTGGAATTCTGACCTGTATTTGGTGGAGAAGGGTTTCGCTTGATGAAATTAATGTCCGGGAGTTTTGAAGTTTGAGATTTCGAGAAATCATGGAATAAGGCGGTGGTGCGGTGAAGGAGGGAACAGGGTTCAAGTAGCGGAGGAGGATTGGGGCTTCGGGGCAAAAGAAGAAAACTGAAAATGATCCATTTTGGCATTTTGGGCCTAACGAAAAAAGGTGGCTTTTCGATTATGAAAATTGCATTGAGTCCATCCATCAATCAATGCATTTTGGGCCAAGGAAAAGATGTAGTGTAAAATGGGGTAATTGTCGGGAGAGGAACGATGGAGGAATGATTTGTTTGTCCTTTTTTCTCTACACGTAACGTAAGTGGAACAATTTCTTCAATAGTCGATACTTAAAGTTGAAAAAAAAAAGAAAGAAAAAGAGTGATTATGCCAGCCGTGATCAGCTTCTATGATGGAAGATCATAAGTTAATAAAATTATTCTGTCATCGAAGAAAATATATTATATTAAAACATTCTTTGACAATGGAATGGATGACCATTGAGTCGTTAGTTTATGGTCCAACTCCAATATGAAATTTAAGTGGCTAATTATCTGTATTTATTTGTTCATCCATTACAACTGTTATAAATGGTGAGATTAACATTTTTTTTTCTAATTTTTACTCCAAAAAAGAAATGTTTTGTCTAACTTTATTTATTTTTTTCACAAAATAATGTCACAATAATGTTCTTTGTTCTTTTTCAACAATAATGTCCTTCTATCAGAATAATCGTAATTTGAAGGAAAACTTTGTGGCTCCTTATTAAATGACAATCGGGAAGAATGCTTATATACGCAATATTATGCGCTTTATTAAATGAAAACAGTTGTGGCAAATTGGACCTTGAAATGAAAATGTTGCATCCATTAAGCCCCTCAATATGGAAATCTTTATTTTTTGGTCCCTCTAATGTGAGAGTTTGCTGCTGTGTTGCTCCTCCTATTTAGAAATGAATTAAAAACAATTTCAGGAATTAGAGTACATTGGATGTATGCAAAAGACTAGCGAAATTGAGAAAACCAAAGGGCTCAATTTTCATGTACAACTGAGATTAATTTGAGCTAACCCTACTTAGCTTAAGTGGAAAGATTTTTTGGTAATCACTCGCGTGTAGGCCTGTCAATCGGGCCTAATGAGCCGGGCTTTGATGTGTTCAAGCTCAACTCATTTAATTTGAGACATTTTCGGGCTTCGGGCTATGAGATTCGGGTTCGTAAATGTGAAGCTCATACTCAGCTCACATAATATTCGGGTTGTGAGACTTAATCGGGCTTAGCCCAAGCTCACTTATTACTCCTGAATTTTCTTAATATAATTACTATAACTATTAAGTTGTAAAACTAATTTAACATTTACAAGACTATAATATTAAAACTAAACATGAACAAATAATAGTTCTTAAAAAGTATATAAACCAAAATTTTTTCAACAATATTTATATGTAATCCGTTTAAAATGCATGAAAAATAGTAATAAAACATGCAATCATAAGCCAATACATCTTTAAAAGTTGAAACTTTTTTTTATAATCTTGTGATTTAAATCCAAATATGCTTGATGATTTTTGTGTTTGTAGACCAAAAAAAAAAATCAACCAATAATATGCCAATACAAAAAGTTACTCAACCAATAAGAAAAATTAGAGATTTAGTTATGCATTACTAATATTGGCTCTCAAGAAAGCTCATGAAAGAGTCTTTAGATGTGTTTTTGTGTTTTGTAATTTATATATATATTTAGTATTTAGCAAAAATATATTTGGATATATAATTATACATAATATCAAAATATAAATATTATATATATGTGTAATTAAAGGGCCGGGCCTATATCGGGTATGAGCCTAATAAGGCCCAAGCTCGGCTCACATTTAATTCGGGCCTAATTTTTAGGTTCAAGCTCAGACCGGCTCACTAAATGATCGGGCTCATCGGGCTTTCTGTCGGGCCGAACGAGCCGAGCTCGGGCTGACCCAGCCCCATTGACAGTCCTACTCGCGTGCACAATATGTCTGTAATTTTGAACATGGCACTTTATGAATAATGCCTTGATTGTATACTTGCTTCAAATTTTGGAACAAAATTTTCATTACTCCGGGTTTTCTATGCTCATTTAACAGGCGCAGATTTAAGTGACACCTTGATGGATCGAATGGTAAGCCCATCAGTATTTCTTAAGCTCCATAGCCATTTCAATGAAAAGACTCAAGTCTTCATTGTATTAATTTCCATTTCAGTATGACATTAATATGCTCTCAAGTTTTGAGGTGCTGATTATCCCTGCAGGTTCTTAATGAGGCAAATTTCACCAATGCAATCCTGGCTAGATCAGTTCTCACCCGCAGTGATCTTGGGGGTGCTACTATTGAGGGTGCTGACTTTAGTGATGCAGTGATAGACCTTCCCCAAAAACAGGTATTCTTGATGTTCTCTTGATCATCTGTTAAGTGTCGGAAACCCCTGAACTCATTCCCAGGATTAGTTCGTTATACAAGTTTCATTCTGCAAAAGCTTTCAATGAGGGAAAACTTCTTAATAGAACAGCGTAGCAAAGTTTCACTGAGTCCTGCAATCTACATTTATGATCAATCGAAAAGTTAAAATGGTAAAATTTCTATGTCAAGATCGAGCCCAGAAACTGTATACTTGCTGGTCATTCTTGAAGCCTACCAGCTGGGGACAGTCTACATTTTTTATACGTTTGCCAAATTAGAACTGCCTGTCTGCCTGCTGTTTCATGAACTTTTGTGCTTGTCCGTCAACAGACCCTCAATTTCTTAGAGCAATCTGTCAGAACAAATTATTTATATGAAATTATGGAAACAAGATGTGCGAATTCTTCCATTAGCTTAGTTAAATATACTCATTATTCGTATTTACAAGCTGGAAACCTAAAAAAGAATCTGTTAAGGGGGATACAATTGCTTTTGTGAAATATCTCAGTCTTTCTAGTTGTGGAATTTAGGCATGTACACTGTTTTTGGCTTGATCTCTCCTTGTGTCTTTCTCTATTCTCGTATGCTATCTTTCTTTGACACATCTAATTTTATTTACGTTGATTTGGAGGCTCTTTGCAAATATGCAAGTGGCACAAATCCTATAACAGGGATAAGTACCAGAAAAAGTCTAGGTTGTGGAAACAGTCGAAGAAACGCCTACGGTTCCCCTTCTTCACCTCTCCTTAGTGCTCCGCCAAAGAAATTGCTTGACCGTGATGGATATTGTGATCCAACCACCGGCCTATGTGATGCAAATTAATTAGTCTGACTCAGAACAAATTTTTGCTGATTTTTGGGCTTATCAAGAATCAACTTTGCCTGAGCATCACTACCCCCCAAGTTTGATGACATTCTAGACACCTCAAAGATTTCACAAGCAGACTTGATACCTTATTGCTAACGTGTTTATGTTTCTTCTGAAGAGTTTATTGACTTATTTACTCGTAGTTGGCATTATAATGAGAAACAACTAGCAATTTTCTCCGTATCAATTGTAATGTTGAGAAGATAAGCATGTGTGAAATATGCATGGCCTTGCAATTGATCACACATTCTGTAAGTTGCAAGGATAATTATCGCCAAAGCACACTCTTTTGTCATCTCTTATCAGAGTACTGCATGCATCGGAACTTCTTTGAGAATATACTCAAATTTGCCTTCTCCCAACTCTCATACTTTGACCAAGGAAAAATTCAGAGATTAATTACTCTCAAAACAATAAAATGCATTAAATGTAGGACTCATCAATCTGAACACTAATATTTCCATTGGCCTATCGATTCGTAGTTTAGAGCTTTAGATCACTTCAGGTTCATGAGACGAGTTTTGTTTCAATAATATCAATAACAGATGAACATCAGAATATCATGGTATTGAACTAGCTTAACAAGTCGTGGAAGTTACTTTAACATTCATGTTTTACCGTCGAACATGGAGACCAGAACATCAGAAGCATTTACTGGACAAGCTAAACGCGCGACAAAAAAAAAAAAAAAAAAAAATTCATTGACTTGGGCTGATCAAAGTGTTTTTTTTTTTTTTTTTTTGGTTTTGAAGCAATGGGCTGATCATTAAAGTTGAAGAAAGCACTCATCACACAATTGGCGATGTTCAACTAAGAGTCTAAAACAAGCTTTGTAGTTTCTTCATAAAATTGTCCTGTATTGTGTCATTATTGTTTGAGCGTGATCATGCAAATGCTTTTACCTGAGTAGTTGTCACAGCATATTTGCTCTTGCTTTCTTTTGCTTAATTCCAGCAAACAAGAGGTGAAGCCTAAATTATAAACAAGTGTTGATAACCAGCCTCAGATAGGTACTTGCTTAACACTCAATAAAAAAAAAAAAAAGGACAAGGACATTATAAGTGGATGGAGTTAGATAAAAATAACTATAATTCACTTTCGCTTGGTCTTAAAACTGTGTAGTAATTATTCTGCAGATTTTCTGCTTGCATATGTATTATAAGACATGGTTTCATTTCATCTGAAAACCCTGGCCTTTCTGCTGTGCTTTCTTCTCCCGCTTCAGTTTGAGATTAATTGCACCGAAGCAGATTGGGGAACTTCCATGTGGAAAATCCCGCCATATCTTTTTGCCCAACTTCTGAAGTTCCATTTAACAGTACTCTACCAAACCAAATCATGAAAAATCCTTTTATGTTCATTTAAATTGATCCGTAAAAGTATCAGACAATATAGCTGTCACAACATTCCTTGTTCAAATGGCTCAGTACCATGGCTGTACTTTCTTGATGTGGTAGTCATCAATTTGCCATCTCTAGAGTACTGCAAAGCATTATGGTTAAGAAATGTGGTCCCAATCATTTGGAGTTTGATGAATTTGTGAGCTTTGAAAAGCTTAATTATGCCACAGGGCATCAATTGAAGTAATCATTAGGCCTGCAATCCTAATCCTTTTCATATTCCTCCTTATCCCCACCTCAAGGGCTCCTCCTGATTTTTAGTGCTAGAAAACATTGAACGGAAGATAATAACTGTTTCATTCACCTGCATAAATGTGCTAAATGTATTGGCAACCCAAATTAAAAAAAAAAAAAAATTGTACTCGTAGGGAATGGATATCAAGTGTTTAGCTTGAGGTTAATTCATTAACAAAAGGCAGCTTCTTCATGTAATATCTTCTAGCGCATCTCCTGGAAGGTTTATGACAATTTCAATTTGCACCTCTTTCGTTTCATAAATTACATCTACATCTCTTAGTTTGTGGTTTCATGTAGCAAAATCAGCCCGTGTGTTGTTAAAATGCTGCACCAAATGCAATAAAAGACATTAAGTTTCCAACTTCCCACTGCCCTCCCCACAAGGTTGTGAAGGTCAAAATATTTCAAGTAATTAACAACCCGCTTGGACTTCCCCTCTCCATTAGTGCTGTTTGATCTTTAGAGCATTAAACAAAGGACACTAGCCCACAGGCTCTCGTCAATTGGTGTAGAATAGAAATTTTAAGAAACATTAAGAAAATTTAACAGAATCTAAAAACAAGCAAGAATTAACAACACACCTAGAGAGTTGTTATACACATTAATTATGAAAGAAAAGTGTAAGTGATAGAAAAAATTCCATTTGTAACCACACTTGCAAAATATCAAATCAATTGTGCCCAACTCAATTCAACACCATTACTGGATATTTGTAGAGCTTATTAATTTATGTCACTGCCAAGGGAGGTAAACGTAACTAAACCAGAAGGGAACTAGTTGCGATAGTCATTAACCTTGATTTTTAAAGTTATCCATTTTTGTTGGTAGCATTAAGCGTTTGTATCTGTCTTTGGAGGCGATATTATTGACACTTCCAAATTACCCTCTCACAGTACTCTTGGGCGGTATTTTATTCAATGCGTAAATTAAATTGTAAGAGACAAATTTGAGAGTGTGAATACTACTTCCGGTCTTACTATCCATGTGGCATGTGTTTCTTTGCTATTCTGTTTGGATTGCTATCTCTTACCGTAAAATTTTTAGATTTTTGTGAGAAATTTTTAATCATTTTTTACGTTACATGCACCATATATTTATAAAATGTGTTCTGGTAATTTTTTCATCAAAAATTTTTCGAAGAATGCAATCCAATCGGGCTCTAAGTCTTTCACATAGTTAGAAGGGATAGGCAAGAAGCATATGATGTGTCAACCAGCAAGTCAAGGCTCGTAGCTAGCCATAGCTCTAATGATTAAAGAATTCAATCAAATTGCTTCGTCTTTACTTGTTGAATTCCCATAGATAAAGTGTGCACCAGCAATTCCCCAACACAGAAACTGCTGTCCCCGTTGTGGACTCCTCTCGAGAGTTTCCCATCAGCCATTGTGCCCTCTTTTCTTGTCAAGTCTATTTCCACAATTATCATCGCTTTTGTGTCAAAACTTTTTTACTGCTCGATCATAAAACATATCCACTTTACTACCAGTTTAGTCGTATTTCCTAACAACATAAAAGCAAAAAGAGGATACTTCGACCATATACGGACAAGTATATACTGGAAGACATTGTAATGGACTGAATATATAGGGACTCTAGGATAGGACAAACACTATAATTTCTGGAGTATTTCTGAATGAAATTGAAGGAAAAGTTTAAGGCGAATAAATTGCAACATTTCCTACTTAGCAATTCTTCCATCTGTAGGAAAACTGAGCAGGCATTTGAATGTACTTACTCAGGATGCAAACTCATCTGGAGAAGGCATAATTTGATTTCTTTTAACTAAATGCAATTGGACTGTAGCATGAATATATTATCTTTCATTAGTTTGAATAATATTCTTCATTGAGTATGCTGTGTAGTTATACGTCTGTACAAATCAACTAGAGTTTACAATCAAAGAGAAAGGTTATTAGATCAATTTGTCTAGGGTAGTGAATATTAGATTGTTTGTTGAAAAATTGCACTTCTTTTGATTCTGGATTTTGTTCTACTGTTTATTCCATACAACTAGTATCCCATTTGTAATCCATGCCATGCACTTACTTATTATCAATTAGTTTGAGTATGCTTCATTCTTTTTGAACGAAATTACAAGAATCCACAATTGGGCAACGCAAAACAGATTACAACTGAAAAATTACTGTGCCAATTACCAATTAACATGCATGTAGTTAAAACAAACTCACGTATAAATTCTATACTTGAATTAAGAATCTCTTGACCATTAAACCAAAATTATTTGGCATTTCCTCAAATTAAGTTCTCAAAAGTTTTGCAAATTGTATAAAAATTAATGACAAGCAGTACCAGCTTTAGTATGAAGGTGTATTTAACTTATTAAATTGACTTGGCTAGCTCCATCATGAACTCGTAGAGTACCATTTTTTGAACTCATGCACTGGCATTCCCTTGAATCATATGGTGGTTCTTGAACTTCATTGACAATTTTTTTTTTTAATGAAATTGGACAGTGCGGCCAAAATAGACATCGGCCTGTACCAAAATTTGAAGGTCAGTAAGTATAAAGATTTTCTTTTTCCCATGCTTTGACATTTTGCAGCAACTATGGGCTCTGCCTGTCAATGTTAAGAAAACTGAATGAGGAAATTTTTTTTTTCACGGAACTAGAAGCATAAGGTACAAATCCACGCACAATTACAAGAGAAAAAAATCAATATAATACTGGATACTAAAAGTGACATTTTTTTGCTTAGAGCTGTATCATATCACTTTTTAACTTTCCAACTCTAATTTGTAGTTATTTTGTCATGACTAAACCCTAGTTTCATTAGCAGATGATTGAGGAATTTTATTTGAATTTTGAGCCAAAGCCTCATCGGTATTCGTTTTTCGACTTTAGAGCAAAAAATCTCGTTGGTTAATCACGAGGATATGACAAAGTAAAAATACTTACCAAGAAAGCATAAACTAGTTTGTCTCTCTCTCTTTTTCTTTTTCATCTAATGTGCGTGAAATAGATTAGCGAAAAGGGCAATTTATGCATAGTTGAAAGAGTAGTCATTACCTATGAAGAGAAGTCATCTTTCGCTTAAACCACTGAGTCATGATTCAGTGACCACTAAAAAGAATGGATTATAAATTGAGAGTTCGAACCTATCTATTTTGAAAAAAATTTAAAGAGCACTATTTTGATCTAATCGGATCTTTTATTTGACTAGAAGAAAGGAAGCACTGGAACTTTATTTTTAAAGATTGAGTTAAGCAGTATAGACTGAAGGTAAGACTTATTATAAGTACCTTTCATTCATACTCGAGAGACGACAACCATTAATATCTCAGAGTATAGGAATATGAAAGTACATATATTATACGCACTACAAAAGACAGTCGTCGTACACAGGTGCACCTTTTTTTTTTCTGGGTTCTAATCCACGAATCCCTATCCTTAACGCGAGGAATTGAGGGCCAGCAAAGGTCTGGTGTCTGGGGAGCAAAAAGGCAGACAAATGATACATGCCCACATGGAATTTTATTATAATATAGTCAATCACAATTCAAAGGCACTTGCAATTTCTTGGCCTGCAGACAATGTGTTTAGTAACCCTAATAATATGGCCACACATTTTCACATGCAATGCATCAGTGCGCATGGCTTGACTTGCTTCCTCCTGAAATTTGCAGAAATCTTAGTGACACCATTGCTTATCATTCTTTAAAGCTAATCAAGAGACTGCACAAGTAAAATATTCAACACTTCGGGGGGAAAAAATTCCAATTGGACAAATGTTCCACAACTGTTAAAAGTGAGAGCTAAATGAGTTAAACTAAGAAGTGAAGAGAAACTAATGCCTTCCTCACATATATCCTATACGGGATATTGCATGAACAATCTATTAAGAATAGCCATTCAACTTAATTAATTTCCTCAATGGTTTTTTCTACCATAACCCCACTAGCCCTCGATCTTGCCCTAGCAAGCCAGCGTTCAACATGAGAGAGAGAGAGAGAGACTTATGAGCCCATGAAAGCACGCTCACTTATTGTGTCTGCTGTGAAATTGGCATTGCTTGAAAGGTACTTTCAAGCATGAATTCAAGCCAAGTAAAAATGATGTTACAGGTCAAACAAGAAAGATAATTCTTGTTTCTCACTTTCATTGCATAATAATGAACAAAACAACTACAAGTCTCTTTTTCCAAGTATTAAAAGCCAACTCGATCAAATTTTGTCTACCTTAGCTAGTTCCCTGATTCTTGACCTTACAGAATCTCCAACTCTTTCCTTTCAAACTCAAAACACCACGAGAGACTACTTTTCGGGTAGTTTAGGCCTCGTTAAAAAAAATGTCTACAGCAGGAAAGTAAATACTTCGTTCTTTTCTTCCTGTCTCTTGTGGTGTTCAAACTATTTTTCCTTCCCAAGTGCTCAGATTTTACCAATAAGGCCATGGCTTCCCTTGCAGCGCTAATATACCATATCAACTTCCAAAGTGTTAGCAGATAGATAGTCTGGTCATGTTTATTTATACCCAGTGAATAAGAATGTCTCATCACAATTATTACTCCATATTTGTGAACTTCATCCATCGAACAAGTATTTGACAAGTTTTGAGAGGCCGTACAAACATCCAAATTGACAGTCTTCTGGCATGAAACATTTAGGCGATCAAGGGGGTTTTGGGGCTGTGGTCATCCGGATGGTACAATACGCATGCATTTCTACTTGTCTAGCAAGTTATTCTTCGCCATATTCCACAATCAAATTTCATTGCTAGAACTTTTGTTTGGTGATAGTAACATAAAAGAAATGGCTTTTGTACAGCAGTTACACCGGCTAAAGTTGCAAACTTGTATGCACAATCTCTTTTTAGAAGAGTATTTTCCGAAATTGTTTGGTCCTTGAGGAGAGGAGGTATGCTCTCTAGGAAAATCCACAAGCCATGTAATAGAAGTTCCTAGTAAGCATCGACATGTGGATCATTTTTCTGTCTGCATGGCAATTGGTTGTCCACATGCATTTTTAAGAGTTAATTGTCAAAACAGGATAATAAGCCTTAAGAATAGCACTCTTGAGGCAGGTCGTGGAGAAAAATTCCAGGTAATTCGAAAACCTTTTGCTTTTGCTCTAGTAGTTTGAGGTCATCTGCGTGTATAAACCGGGGGGAAATTCTACCATGCCTTCTGCATTCTCTAGTTAATAGCAGCCCATTATTGGATTTCTCATTCATAGAAAGAAACTACGCGAAATTCAAAGATGCAGACCTTCTTCTACCTAGTATCTCAGTATTTCGACTCATGATAACCCCAAGGAAAAGGATGAAAAAAAAGAAGAAAACCAACATCATTTTGTATTTAGAATAGGTCGCAACTTGCTTCTGCTGCATGCGGTGATTGAGTTGTCCGTTTTTTCTATATATTTTTCAGTAAGTTCAATTCATGAACATCTCAAGGAAGAGAAACTAGTATGATAAAACATAAGAAAATATACAAAAGAAGGAATGATGCCATTGAGTATCTGTAATTAAGATTCCATTTTTGGACAGAGAAAAAGCCAAAATAAACTTCAAAAGTTGCAAAAAAAAAAAAAAAAAACCCATTTAAGTGCTTGTTGAACTTCAATAAAAGGAAACATATTCAACAATCCCACAGTAGTAGTGTCACCAGCACTTATAGCTTACAAACCATATACGCATCCATATATACTTACTAGTAGGTGTCTCTCATGAACCTATATATATGCCTCTGAACATTAGTACATTGTGTACAAGCAACCAAATAGCTACTTAGTAGTACTTAGCAATTTATTATGTACAGAAACTGTCGTCACATTTCTTTCTTCTATTTGTAGTAACTTCCTATGACTGATTACTGCTATATGTAATTGTAGTTAAATTAACATATTCTTACTTCCAAAGATCACTTGAGGACTCGGGGCGGATACACAGCCAAATTCTGGTGACGTCATTTCTTGTTGCTTTGATTCATCATTCACTAGCATATTCATGTGTTCTGCCACTTGAAGTGAAGAAGGTCCATCAGAATAGGCAGTCTGCTTTGCTGCATCTTCATGACTTAGCTGAGATGCGACAAACTTGTCGAGAACTCGCCAATCAGTCACTTGTTCAACACCTTGATCAGTGTTGTTAATGTAAACTATTTGGGCTTGGTGGCTTTGTTGCAGATGTGGTGCTTCATGCGCAAGTGTTGAAGACTGTAAAATGCTTCCACTGCTCCTATCAAAACCGTATGGTACCATTAAACTGCAGCTTACATTGGTGATCGACTGTGGAACTTTAGGGCTCTCAAGTTGAGGAAGCTGGAGGAATACATCCTGGGGGATGTTGTTTTGCAGTTCAAACTCTTGCTTGCAGGAATACTGAGGATTGTATGACGAATATGATTGAGGTATCCGCCTTGGAGAGTCAAATTCGGGCATGAAAGAAACTTGATCATCGTACCAACATAGTGACTCGAGGTCTCCTTCCTTCCGTACAGTTGTCAATCTCTTCTTGAACACCCTACACACAACCCATCCTTCTTCCTGGTTCAATCAGAAACATCTTGTATTAGGCTTAAAGTCTTCTTTGGTCTCAAAATAGATTAAGTACAGGTCGTCCTTTGATATAATAGAGAACAAACTGTTGCGATGCATTTGTTATTTCCATTTTCATGACGGCAAAGAAGGCTACAGGTATAATATATAGGACATGTAAATGGTACGAGAAAACTCCTGAAGTAGGTTTAAAGAAGGAATTGAGAATTAGATCATAAAACATCAGCACATAAACAAGCGGCTAAAATTAAAACTATTCTCCTGAACTTTGTTTTCAAATAACCAGCAGACCAGATAAATGCCATCATCTGGGTCAACAGGTTTAACCCCAGAATTTAGTATCTAAGTATTTCCGGGAGAAAAAAAAAAGAAAGAAAAAACAGTTGATGCATGGAATCGAGAGAGTTGAAATTTTATTTCGGAAAAGGTTTTGTTCATCAAGATATACGCATCTTTATTTGAAGAGATAATTGTTAATTAAGGGCAAGGAGGAAATTGCCATGCAGAAGAAATGGAATGCTGATGTATGATATATTCTTTTATAGTTTTGCAAGCTAAGCAGGCATCTCGGATGTATTAGTCTAAATTTAATACTTGCCTGAGGAGTCCCATTCTCATTGGTTTCTAGTCTGTATTCATGCATTATCCAGTCTGATTTTTGTCCATTTGGGGCTCGACCTTTATAAAATACCAAGGTCTTTCTCATGCCAATTAAACTATGCTTAGAGTAAATAGCTTTGTCTCTTCCTGTAGCTTTCCAGAATCCTGCCTTTGTAGCTCTATTAGTGCGTGTTCCAGTTGGATACTTCTTATCCTTATGACTAAAGAAATACCACTCATTCTGCTCCTCGGTACCTATCTTGCAAAGTTCTGTTCAAATAAAAATTTCAGGACAATGAGTGAGGGTTTTCTCCTGAATTCAGAAAATCATCATCAAAATTGATAAACAAATGCTACCTTGAAGATCCCATGGTTCGATTCTGTAAAGATCAACATCCTTAATTACATCTAGATCAATTCTTTTTGAAGCAATCTTCTTCCGTAGATAGTAGTCAACTAATTCTTCATCTGTAGGATGGAATCTAAAACCTGGAGGAACGTGTGAAAAAGTATTCATGTTCTTTCAAGTGCAGAGGAAGACCTGCATTGGACAAGGAGAAGGTGTTAGCCGTGGCAACACCAACATTAGCATAGAGAAATGTAAAAAGAAAAAGGGGGGGCATCTTACTTTGCCATCTCTCAATTGATAACTAAACTATGAATTGTGTTTCCAAGGTTAATGCAAGTATGCAACTTGGCAAAAAGCTTCTACTACCTATGACAATTATATGTTCACTTGCAATGTTATTCAAAAACTGAAGATGACTTGAGTTAACGCAAAAAATCTCCAAGGCAGGGAAGTAAGAATCCGTTTACAACCGAAAATACAAATCCTTCGTTCATTGTTCAAGTTTCTGCGCTTTTATATGTTTCATATACTGGATACCAGAAATAAGTTTAAGAAATGTGATTAATGCATAAAATATGGAACTATTAGAAATGAACATTCATTCCAAGTTAGCTAACTTCTCCAAAAAATAAAAAGAAAAATACTAGTCAGATTGGAGGGAGTTGGAGTACTTTTGTCTGAATGGACATCATCTACACCAAATCATAAGAGATCAAAGAGTGCGTAGAGTGAAAAGAAACAGATGAATGATCACATTCACACTTCAAATCGAGAAACTGTTTGCCAGTAGTCTCTCAAATGGGATAAAAGGACGATATTAGACAAAGTTTTGATCAACAAGGAGGTAGCAACTCTTAGAGAAATATTTTCTGAAGCCTAAAGCCTTTGCTACAATAGAAGCGTAGACAAAATAATGATTGAGAACGTGAGATTATAGTTGTTTGCTTGAAATTAGCATTGTGCAAAAAGAGGAGGTACAGACACAACTGTCTTCATAGAAAAAAGGAGGCGCCAAAAATTCCTCCAAAACTATACTTTAAGTAAAAGGTTGTCTGTTATCCTTTTATCCACCATGCAAAACTATATAGGAAATTGAGAAGGAGAGAGACAAGAGTATCGAATTTACACAAGCAGACACCAAGGAAAAATTAGAGGAAGAAGGGAACATATATATGGTTGAAGAAAAACTTTAGAAAGAAATCTCTCTTAATTTTCTAATTATTATGAATAGCTCTTTGCAGTCGAAACAAGAGTAACACTAAATTTACAGTGACATTGGTAAAAAAATCTTAAAAGGCTCCGAATGGACTTGTACTGGCGAGCAAAGGAGACTAATAGTCATTGCTGAGCACAGAACATGAGTACCAGTTAGGAGTGTACAGACAATCGCAAAATTTTTGGAATACTTTTGCTAAGAATGAAAATCACGAAAACTTCGTAAAAATCATGAAAACTTTTAACTGGGATGGTGAGAAGAGTGAGCATGGAATCCATTTGTACTTGGAAAAGGAATTTAAGAGGCAAAATACAGCAAGTATTACGGACAAAGATGAGTAAGAAGAAGTTGCATGTATTGAAGTACATTAATAAGCCCTATTTTAGTGGGAAAAGAAAAATTATGTGTATTTCTAATTTGCAAGTTAAAATTAGTTTCTATTAACAAAGGCCTGATAAAACAATGCTTTAGTTTATATGATTATGCGCCCTAAAAACATATGATTATGTGCCCTAAAAACATAAAAGCTCCTGGTTCTTCCTGTGCAAGCCACCAAGTAATGAAAGCTTGGATAAATCTGGCAAACATAAGCATGTCTAGAAGCTAAACTGTATTGAGGCCTTAATCCCAATCAAATTAAAGGTTTTGACGGTTAAGAAATGGATCAAAATCTGGATTAATTCTGGATTATTTGAAAAAATCAGATTGATTCAAAAAATCATGTGGCAAAATTAATTATTTAAAATCAAGTTATCAAAATACAGGCTCAACAAACCATATATGACCAAGAACTTCAAATGACCAGCATGTACTGCGTATGTGATTTCTGGAGGAAGAAGACTAGAAACTCCAAGGCGAAAATGTGAGCTTGATTATAGTTATTGGTGCTTGGAGGATGTAGGTACGAGTACTCGAGTTTGCTTTTCCTTGAGGCTTGAAACCTGAACGAAAACTGGCATAGAAAAGGCGTTTGCTCCACTCATAAAGTGAAACTAGCTAGGAATAATGCGTAATCAAAAATTTGTATTGCCTTTACTTTTTAAGAAGACACAGATGACGCATACATACGCATAACAGGCAGTAAATGAAAAAGAATGATTTATCATCAAGAATTTTCAATTATCCTCCAAGGATCTGTTGTTACTCGTAGCATCATGCATCCTTATGTCCACTATTTGAGACTAAAGTTTAGTTTTGTTTAACCTTCCTACATAGATTATCAACTAAATCGAAGGATAACAAAGAAAAAGATGGTAACAATAACAGCACAAATTAACAACAAAAAACAAGCATGAAAAGCCTCGATCAACATATGAAACCGTCTAATCGACATACTTGGAGAAAAGCCATCCTTGAAGACTAAAAGCTTTAGCTACAATTCTTTCTTTTTTTTTTTTTTCCTTTTAGGTTAGCTACAAGAGTTGGGGAAAGCAAAAACTTCAACAAGGATGAAAGAAAGATGGCATTCATGGCTTTTGAAACCAAGGCAGGCAAAAAATCTAATAAGAACCAAGATTGTCATCAGAAGAAGAAGGTTGAAGAGTTGTGAGGATAAGAAGACAACCTCGAGAATCCTTTAAAAGTACTGGAAAATTCTTCGGAAAATGTTTCTTGAATCCAAACTTCTTGCCAGCCAATCAGTGAAGTGAAAGCATTTAAAATTCTTTTTCTGGGAAGTGCTCGTCACTCTCTTGCAACTTTTGAGCCCACTGAAGCAGACAGAAAAAGAAAAGCCAAGAAAGAATGTTTGGAACAAAAGGGTTTTCCTCGGGAATTGAAGTATGCTCAAATTCTGGTTGTACACCTGACAAACTTTGTCTTCTTGTTGTCAAGAATGATCAGATCCCAAGGAAAAAGAGGAGAGAAAAGTTAGAAGTAAGAAAGAATATGGTAATCAACCAAGAAAAAAAGAAGCAAATTTGAAATCAAGCAAACAAAATGGGCTTGTTGTCCATTTTATGCTACGCTATACCTCTTCAAGAACCCTCTTCAACTGCCCTTTCTCTCTCTCTCTTTCTACCTCTCTCAGCTTGTGCATGTATTTATATGTTTCTCACACTAGGGATGCATTCTTTTTGAGCATATTGCTATGAGCTTGATTGCTGGAAAAGCTTTAATGCGGGAAAAAAGGGAGGGGGGAGGAGGCGAGAAAATCGGTGGCGGATGTGGATTTACTCCGACAGCCTACCCTACCAGCAATCTCTTGTGTCAATAGAGACAAAACACACCCAGCTATCTTAGCTTTTGTTCAGCCCTACAAAATACTACATAAATAATCTGGATATCTCTCGCACCTGAAATGGTGGCTTAGGGACACACAGAGCGGTGACGTGTGTAAGAGCTATTCAGATAATAACTGATTCGTCGCTAGGCGCATCATTAGGATCACTCTCAAGTTAATTCCCTCAGCCACAAACACACTCACGCCAGAACCAACATACCGCGATACTGTAACTTGCATGCTTTTTTCTTTTGTTTAACAAAATAAGAAATCTTTCCTTCGTCTAGAGTAATTCTTTCGTTTGCCACAATAAGCTTTTTTTTTTGGGAGGTAGGTAGAGTGTAGGGCGGCCCGGTGCGGGTTGGAATGAGTGAAAGATATAGATAGGCTTCTAACCCTAGTGTTCTTTTTGTGCCACAATTGAGATTTGAGTTTCTTCCTTAAGTAAGTTGCGATGTTTTGTTTCCATTTCAAGATTATGTTAGAGTGATAACTGTTAATAGACGTTTTAATGTAATCTCATATAACCCTGATATAACTATGTCAAATTTGTAATGTATTAATGCAGTACAACTAAATTGCAATTAACATCAAAAACCATATTACAGAATTTAATAATATACATAATGTGATAATAAAAATAATTTGAATTAGACGAAACTCAACTTATGAGCAGGGGCGGAGGGACGCGGGGCCAATCCGAGGCCCCTACAATTTGTTAAAAAAAATTTATTTCGTAAGGTATAAAAAATTTTTTCATTGAGTATTAGATTTATTTGCTCCCCCAAAATTATTGAAACAATAAAAAATTTTCACTTTGCCCCCCCTCCAATTGTTATAAAACTCCAATTGTTATAAAAAAATTTCTAAGTAAAAAAAATTTTTCTTATATTGTTTTGCCCCCCCAAAATATTGATAAAAATTTTCACTTTGCCCCCCCTCCAATTGTTATAAAACTCCAATTGTTATAAAAAAATTTCTAAGTAAAAAAAATTTTTCTTATATTGTTTTGCCCCCCCAAAATATTGATAAAAAATTTCACTTTGCCCCCTCCTAAGAACCCAAATAATAATGTTTGAAAGTTATTTGGACTTTATCCAAATAACAGAGACTCGCCCCTCCTAATTGCAATTCCTAGCTCCGCCACTGCTTATGAGACCCTCATCATATGTAATAATGAATACCCGTAAGAAAACTCCACCTAAGAACGTATGCAAAGAAATTTCGTGGAGTGTTTTCAATTATCATTTGTGTTTTTGGGCTTCTATTTCTCTTTCAAGGGTACAATTTTCCGACTCCCGAAAAACAATGGGAACCTCCTTTAAGCACGCTCCATGCACAATGAGTTGATATTTCCATAAAGTCTATGCCAAACAAAATATTTTTAAGAAACAAAAGAGACTGTACATTTCTTGATGCAAGAAACTGTGTTGTGTACAATAAAACACTCCGCACTGTAACGGCCCAATCATTTTAGAGTATTACCCGCATGCTGCGAAAATCAAAACAAGGTCTAAGGCTGCCCCTTTTGGTAATCCAAGGGGGAAAAAATATATACATATATCTACTGAAGTTAAAAATGCAATTTCATAAACTTATAAGGGGGTCCATGTGGTTCGACCACGCCAACCTTGTATCAAAAACAACATCACAAAGACAGGTCAGAAACTAAAAGCTGATTGGTCTACACCCTCTTCCACAACAGCTACCTTTTTGCGAGTTAAACAAGTATTAATTTAGCAAAGACAAGGGTACTCAAAGTACATTTCATAGAGAATGAAGCTATAAAATTGGTGTGGAAGAAGCTTTCCTAGGTTTTGGAGAGGGATAATAAATTATACGTTGAAGCCCTGACCGGCAACCGTAGGCAGACTCAGGTTGGTTGGTCTGCAATTTTTTACAATTTCCCTTTCACTAGTTGTAGGCCCCACGGACCGACCCAATCGACTACGACGGAGACCTCTCTCCAAATACGCTCACCTTTACAAATGATTAAGAAAATCAATTAAAAAATATTTTTGGAAACAAAAATTAAAAAGGAAATTGAAAAGGGCAAAACTAGCTTCTACCTCGGCTCGGCTTAGCCGTTATGAATATATATATATATATATATATATATATATATTAAAAAAACAAAAAAAGCAGGTCGAGTGTGAGGAGCCTAAGCTTGACTTGAACCCCGTTGAGATGTTGGACTGCGGGGCCCAATCAACGGAATGATGTGAGCTGTTCTCGGGCCTTCGTTGGACGTGGCGGCTAACGGCCCGGCGTGGGCTAACTCTTTGATCATTGAGTTCACAAGCAGGCCGGTTTGTGCGAGGTGGGCCCCACGGGGTTATCCTTCCCCAATTCGGCTAATTTTTTTTTTAATTACGGGCCCACGTTCCGAGTTGGGGTACTTGAGCTGAATGCCACGTATGCAATTTATTATAATACGTGAAATTAATTAAGTGCTTGTGCGTGCCGGCAAGGCAAGTTAATCCATCCCAGCACTTTTGCTCAATTGAAGGAAAAAGTGCACAAGAATTACTTATTTTATATATATATATATAATAAGTATTCTCATTCTTGATTGCTTTTTTATAGTAGTACTTACAAGTAATTCAGAAGTGAAGCTAAAGTCACAGACGGTAATATTGCGTGGGGTGGGCAGCTGAGCTCGAGTTCTAGAATTTTGCTAATACTGCATGGCATTTTTTGCCTTGGAATTGTAAATTATGAAACATTATTATAATTTGGTCCAACGAGGTGGAGATTGTTGGAGTTCGCTTTCTGGTAGGAGTGACAGTACATGAGTAATGTGTTTGGGAGAATAATTATTTTGTGAAACCTTTAATCATTTGTATAATTTTCATCATTAGTGGATACGGTCATGTCATATATATATATATATATATATATATATATATATATATATATATATATATTGGCACCATGAAATACACTGCATGTCATATATTAATTAGTGTATTTATTCTATACCCCTCTTGGAAGTGTGTGTGACAAATATATAGGAAGCTTTTTCGTTGCCCTGATAATTAATGTTCATTTCCCTATTGATTGAGCAAAGAGAAGGGATCGATCATTCGTTTCATGATATTTTGTATTTCTTGATCGATTATCACTGTCCAGGTGACTATATATGTAAAACTTGCAATATGCATAACAAAATTATATATGCTCTCATAATAGTCTGAGACGGTCCATAAGTTAATGCAGGCGGCAAAACCTCAGCAGCCAAAAAAGAAGGGACCAAATATACGTGCGTGTTAGAAGAGGACGCAGTTTGTATGGCAAAAGGGAGTTAGAACCAGAAGTGTCAACTTCTTCTAAAGCAACAGTACACCCTCACAAAAGAAGAAGTGAATGAGATCGAGTGCCATGGCCTTATCCTCCTTGGCAAGCGCAACAGCAAGATGGATTTTCTGAGCAATCCTGATATGAACAGGAGAAATAGGGAAGCAGAGGCGGTGCCTGATTGATACAGAACGGTGGTGCAATGTCTATGGTAGAAGAGAGGATGGAAAATCTCAAAACTCGTTCCTCATGTCAAGTTACAGTCAAGGGATGATAATATCCAAGTGGCAGTAATACTTTCAAGCTGATGCCAAAGTTTTACAAAGGAAGCCAACTTTAATGATTGCTGACATAAAATCATTATTGTTCGTCGGCTCTCCACGTTTTAGCAAGAGAAAGGGCGAACAATCTCGCCTTGAAAAGCCCACTAGTCTACTAGTGAAAGTGCGAGTGACTTTTGAATGTACTTCATTCCTTTCCCTTGCATGCTTCACGTTCACTCTCTTTGGCATATAAAAGAGTTTTGCATTGTAAAGGAGAAGAATTAGATTAAGTAAACGGGTCCACCATGTCCATTTCCTATTGGTTCACCTACCAATTAGATCAAGAAAAATAAACTAAATTAAGCTTTAATGCTGCTAATTGCAACAGAAACCCTTACTTCATATGATATAATAAAAAATATATGGACGAATTTCATAATCAAGCTTTAATTTAAGCTAATGGGGCATCATGAATCTAATTAATTAATTAGTGTCACACTGTCATTTTAGCACATCCTTATTAAAATTTTGAAAGTTTATTGTTAACTGTTAAAGTCACGAAACTTGGTAGAAATGAGATCAAAGCAACGTTAGAAATCGACCTTGTTTTAAAGTCTATTTTTGCTATCATGTCAAATATATGGTACCATTTAAGAGCACACAATACTTTCATTTCTTTTTCTTGATCCTGGCCTTTCCAAGTGTATGTTGGTTACCTGCTGAAGGGTATGGAGTAAAGCTTAGGCAATCTCGATTATACAAGTAGGCCATACGTTTCATTGCGATTTTCATTTTGTATAGCCATTGAAGTTTTACATCAAGAAAGACGACTCCTCACCCTCTATATCTACTACTCCTATATATGTTGTACACCATACCAGCGCCTTAGATTCGTGGTAGTTCCAATGATCATAGCATGCCTGGGATTATACTTTTCCCTTCCCTTTCAATTTGATTAGTTAATTAAATTAAAATTGCTAAACCGAGTTTATTTTGATATGTGGTAAAGTTAGAAATACAATTCATACACAGGGAATAAATTTGTTTGCAAAGTCCTATTATTACCAATGTGGTTAAAGACTCAGCTATTTCTGTTGTCGTCCATTCTATTAGCACGTGATTCTTTTGTTGTGAATGGCAAGACAAAGGGTGAATGGCAAACATTTGCTTTCAACTAGACTTTCCTTGTCCTTGCTATGTTAGCAGGGGAGGAACGGAACGGAATTTGGTATTCAAGAAGTGGGAGAGAAAAAAGGGAAATTTCAATCTTGAACTTCTAAATTTTAGAGTCTAAACTTTAATCATTAGACCAAATTTTCGTTGGCTCTTACGATGAAACTTCATTCAATCTGTTAAATAAGTATTATTTAAGAACAAAATTTTAATCGTCTAATAAAAAATGAAAAGATATCAATTTCAAAAGGGCGAAATTATAATCTACTACAGAGAATGTAGCGTGAAGTTTTTTCTTTCAGAATGGATGCCATAGTCATAAATAGCATGTAGATTAACAATTTACGTCGAGAAGTACAAAACAGGGAAAGTCACGAACTGAAAAAAGAGTGTGTTTGGACAAACAACATTTGAAGTGAAATAATTTACTTCATAAATTTCAAACAATATTTATAAAGTATCAAATATTTGAGGTATATCAATAAGTTTTAACAATTTAGGGGGTCAAAACATAATATTAAAAAGTTTGAATTTTTTTTTTAAAAAAATACTGTTGAACCGGAAAAACCGGTTTTTCCCGGTCAAACCCGGTCAAACCCGGTTTTTGACCGGCTTTGACCGGGTTTTAAATTTCCGGTTTTCTAATGTGACTCGGACCGGCTACCTGGCCGGTTCCCGGTTCAACCGGTTCGACCGGCCGGTCCGGTCCGAGTTTGAAAACAGAGCTTCAAACTCGCGGCCAAAACAGCCCCCGTAGTTTGATTGGTGTAGCTGTGTGGCAACATGCAGATACCATACGTACTTAAATCATTTGCAAAATGTATTAAGTAGAGACATTTTTGTGTGTATTTTTGAAAAACTTATTATAGTAATATATATGAAAATTCTTTTAAAAAAAATTTTAAAATTATTTCTATTTGTATATTATATATTATTGAAAATTTTATTTTTGAAAAACAGAGAAATCCAACCGAAGTGGTTGGATGTTTCTCCCCGCTCCGAAAGAAGTCGTACTTCTTACAACCTTTTTCCTCTGACAAACAAACCAAACCAAACAAAACAGTATACATATGCATACGCGGTCGTTCTCCCTCCCATTATGTCTCTCACACACAACACACACTAGCCCGACTTCCAACTCTCTTCTCTCACTCTAACAAAAAGTCTCATTTCTTTGCCACAAAACAACCAGGAATTTGATTCCAAAAACGAACAACAAACCTATTCAGAAAAGAAAACACCAGAATCCAAATCCCATTACAGAGCATCACATGGGTCGGTTGTTGAAACTTGAATCTTGAGTCTTCACGTTAATGATCTCCCAGTGAAAAAGATAGTTTCTTTACAACTTTCAGACCAGGCCCTGAGATGGGCAGTTCCGAATTCCTCTTAGTTCTCCTTATTTTCTTCGCATTTTCTTGTTCCAGACCTGTTCATGGGAATGCCGAGCTGAGAGCTTTGATGGACATAAAAACTTCTTTGGACCCGGAAAATAAGTATCTTTCTTCGTGGACTAGTGATGGTGATCCGTGTGCAGGCACGTTTCTGGGTGTGGCTTGTAATGAGCACCGGAAAGTTGCTAATATATCATTGCAGAGTAAAGGGCTCACCGGAAAAGTGCCGCCGGCGCTGGCCAGACTCGAGTGCTTGTCTGGATTGTACTTGCATTATAATTCTCTGACTGGACAGATTCCGAAAGAGATTGCTAATCTCAACGAGCTGAATGATCTTTATCTGAATGTAAATAATCTTTCTGGGACGATTCCTCCTGAGCTTGGAAGCATGGCTAGTCTCCAAGGTTAGTGATATAGAAGTATGCGATGTTCAACGACAGCCTGGTTACCGTCTTTCTGAAATTTCGAAGTTGAATAACACCCTATCTGGTGTTATTATGTTGTTTTGAAAGAAATTTCGAAGTTGTTGTTTTGAAAGACTTGTTTTTCTGAAATTCCAAGATCATTTAGAGCAGTAATCCTTAATCATTTGAATAGTTGCTACTCGATTTAGTCAAGTGACAAAAGGGTGAAAAAGGTTGGATTTTGCTTGAGAAGCTGGATACCAGCTAGGTAGATGAATTGCTGAACTTCCAGTTTGATTTGATAACTATATGAATCTGGCTTTTATTTGAACTTTGTGTTCCTGGTGCATAAATAACTGCTTTCATAAGAAATTCCTCAAGATTTCCTTTTTTTTTTGTAAATCTACGTGACGATGCTAAGGTTTAATTTGTTTTCTGGTCATAATTATTTGAGGCTCTTGAAGGTTCAGGGGTTTTTCTACTCTTCCTAAATCTGTTGATTTTGTATTTGTCAGTTTTGCAGCTATCTGGTAACCAGTTGACGGGCAATATACCTACAGAGATGGGGTTTTTGAGGAAGCTCAATGTGCTTGCATTGGAATACAATGGGTTAACTGGATCAATTCCTGCAAATTTAGGGAATCTGGGTATGCTGAGAAGGCTTTATTTAAGCTTTAATCAACTTTCTGGTTCAATTCCTGTTGCGTTAGCTGGTGCTCCTAATTTGGAGGTTCTAGATGTTCAAAATAACACCCTATCTGGTGTTGTACCTCCTGGTGAGTTCATCAGACTTTCGGTTCTTTTAGTCTGAAGAGTTGATACTTCATCGAACGTATTTTTCTTCCTCCATACAAAAAAGAGTAGCTTAAAAGAAATGATGCACCTGCATTTTGAGGCTAATTTTTTTTGTTTTCTTCTTTCTTGCTAATTTCTATCATCTTGGGACGCTCCATCCAAATGAAGCTTTGCAAAAGTTGAATGAAGGGTTTCATTTTGAAAATAATCCTGATTTATGTGGTGTTGGCTTTACTTCTTTGAGAAATTGCACTGCTTGGGATAATCTAAACATCAATCAAGTGGCACCATTGGCGCCTACATCCAACAATAATGCTTCCCCGCTACCTCAGTTTGCTTATGTTCATGTGCATTGCAACCAAACACGTTGCTCAAGTTCATCCAAACTTCCAAGAATAGCAATTGTTTCTGGGGTAACTGCTCTCACAGGTTCATTGATGATTGCTGCATTTCTGAGCATTTTTCGGCATCGCCGACAAAAGCAAAGAATTGGAAACACTTCCGACATTTCTGATGACCGTTGCAGCATAGGACAGATAAAGGAATCTTGCAGAAGTCCCTCGCCACTGGTTTGTCTCGAGTATTCCAAAGGATGGGACCAAATGATTGCAGAGCAGAACTGCCATGGCTTGTGTCCTACAGAGCTCCCAAAGGGCCTTAAGTTTAATTTAGATGAGATTGAATCAGCAACTCAGCACTTCTCAGAGATGAACCTGTTGGGAAAAAGCAAAGTTTCATTCGTCTACAAAGGAATTTTAAAAGATGGTTCCGTAGTTGCTATAAAGAGCATCAACGTGACTAGCTGCAAGTCAGAAGAAGCAGAATTCATGAAGGGATTGAACTTATTGACCTCTCTTAAACATGAAAATCTTGTTAGACTAAGGGGATTCTGTTGTTCAAAGGGTAGGGGTGAGTGTTTCCTCATCTATGATTTTGCTTCCAGGGGTAATCTGTCACAGTATCTTGATGTGGAAGATGATAGGAGCAGTATTCTTGACTGGGCCACTAGGGTTTCTGTCATTAATGGGATTGCAAAAGGTTAGTTTGCCGAAATCTTAATCACAAGTTTATTGCTTCAAATTGTGTTCCTTTTTCTTTCTTTGCTTAGAGTTTTATGTCTTCATTCTCCAGCCTCAGTTTGGCACTGTGCTGGTACTCTGCTAGCATGCTAAAGATTTTAGTTTCATATATAGGCACAAGTGGTATGGTCTTTCTTCTCTTGCTATGAGCCTATGCTCATCTTTATTTGCTGCTGGCTGCTAAACTTTACAGCTGCATGTTTGTCACATTTGTCTATGTATGCTTTGTTGTCAATCTTTTTTTTTTTCCGACAGGTTCCTATATTCCTTCTGCTGTAATAGATTCTTTGCTTGGTTGTTGGAGTTAAATACACCAAGATCAAAGTCCTCTTTACTTCAATTTGTTCACGAGTGTTTCCCTGTTGCATTTGCCATTGTTTGAAAAACAGACTTTTAATTGCATTTTGTTGACAAGTTTTTGAATAGAAGCCTCAGTTTGTCTTGCGATCTATAATAAGAGATTGTAGAATCCGAATGTCAAGACATGTCAAGAATGTGTTTCAGTTGCATGCTTCTTTCAATCAATCACCTGTGTCATTTCTGTTCTTCACACGTTTCAGTATTTTCAAGGGATGTAAATGAGAAATCTCTAATGGGACGTAGCATAGTTGGTCTTGTGATTCCCCTAGATCTATCTACAGATTAAAAAAGGAACTCTTCTCTCTCTAGTTATTTTCTGAAACTCAGTTGAGAGTAATGCGCGAGAGATATCTGGTAATGTCCTTGCGTAAATTCCAATAAACTTGGGACTTTAATGCTTCAGATTTTGAAGTGATGGCTCACTCTTGACGTTGGTTCTTTTACTAGTCTGGTCCCTTCCCCTGAAAAATGACACTTATGTTATGTTTTCTCCCTCCTTTCTTTGACCATTACTGTAGGTCTGAAATGCTAAGATCACGAATATTAAAAGTCAGTTCTGTATTTCCTGTTGCGGATTTTTTCCTCTGCCTTATTGTTGGAATATAATTTTATTTTTTCATTGAAACAGGTATAGGATATCTACACAGCAGCGAACAAAACAAGCTTCCCATGGTCCACCAGAATATCTGTTGAGAAAGTCCTTGTTGATGAACAGTTTACCCATTGATATCGGACTGCGGCCTTCTGAAACTCCTGGCCGACGACGTTGTTTACTCTGCCCTCAAGGTCAGTGCAGCATTGGGTTATATGGCCCCTGAGTACATTACCACCGCCGCTTTACGGAGAAGAGTGATGTGTATGCATTCGGAGTGATTATACTTCAAATACTCTGGTAGACGAAAGCTTACCAATTCTATACTGCTGGAAGCTGAATCTTGCAAGTTCGAGGACTTTATCGACCCTAATCTCAAAGGCAACTATTCAAATATGAAGCAAGCAGGCTCACTAAATTGCACTGGATTGCACGAATGAAAGTCCAGACGGCAGGCCAAGTATTGCTTCAGTAATTCAAGAACTGAACAGGTCTTCAGATGGTTAGCTGCTGGACATCTATCAAAATCAGAGAATCACAGATGATGACAAAAAACACACTACTGATGCTAGAGTAGCTGGCTGCTCATTGAGTGATGAACAAGCCCCTCAATCATCATCATCTATTGTGCCTGCTCGTGTGGGAAAGATATCCAAGTGTCATAATCAGTCCTGTTCTTCACAGAGGCGAGCTGTACAGGTAGAAGAAAAGTCGGGAGGAGCGTTTTGGAGGAGAGAAATAATTGGTGGGGTAGACTGTAGAATGAGAGTAGGTGAGCCAACAGAGCATGTATCGTATTTTGCTGAATTGACTGATGATAGAACTTTCAGGTCCACTCCCCGTTCCATGTTAAATTGCCAAGGTGAACACTAACCAACCTTTAGTGCTGTCCCCACTGAAGGATGAACTGTGTGTGTAATTATAGCGTGGAAGAGGATGTGACTGAGACCTATGTTTGAAGGCTACTTGGTTTTTAAATCAAAATTTTGCATATTTGAAGTTCTATTTTGGACGGTAACAAACGTGGGCAAAAACAGATACTCAAATTCCTTTGTTTGAAGGCATACAACTGTGAACCCAGTGGTTGCTATCCAAGTTCTAATTCACCTTCATAATTTCCTTCTCAGAAACTCAACTTTCTAACTATCATTCGAGTACTTGAACATTTATTACTAACATCGACAAACCTGTCCAATATCCAGCTACCGATCCAAAGGTTGGCTCCCTTGGTTCAGTTAATACGACGTACAAAATTGATATCGCATACTAGCTGCGAAATTGGCAAGCAGCTCCTCTTATTTCCTTTCGGCAGAAAGTCACTAATCTTCACTTACTACAGAAGAAGCTAAAGGTAAGCTAAAGAACACGAAGGAAGAAGGATATTCAGCTTCTGAATTAAATTCCTAAGCTGCTGCACTCTGTTGATGATCTAAATACCACTCAGCGGCCACCATTCTGGTCTGTTAGACTTGACCCTGACACCATCTTGTCCTTGTATGGCCAGAAAGCCTGCCCTTTAAAGGCTTCCTCCAAGCGTAGAAGGCCAAGACCACGGGAGCCAAGTGCAGTTGTGACGGTCCCGACCTTCTTTCGAGATGCTACATCAATTACTTCCGACTGTGGAACTACTTTTTCTCCCACCTCTTTAGGAGCAGAAAAGAAAATAGTTAGATATGCGCAGAAAATAAGCAGACCATAGAACCTGAAATCAAGATAAACTTACCCCTTCCTTGATCATCCAGAAATCGTAAAGGAAGCAGTCTCTTTCGAATGACACCACGGTGATGTGTACGGGCAATCAATTCTTGCCCTACATAACACCTTTGTCAAAGCTAATACCATTTAAACCAGCCAGGTTGTATTCAGGGGAATCGCCTCGCCTGAAAATTATGATACAATCATATAGAATAAGGTGTAAAATATTCTGTTACCCCACTGACCAAAAGAAAACAAAGGGAAACTCGAGTTAAAAGATACTGGATTTTTCTCAAAAAACGTGCTCTCAATTGGAATAAGAGGATGTGAATTCATACATATAGAACCATGCAAAAACATTTCTGCAAGTGAAGAAGAGCAAGTTGCAGTCACCCATTAAAAAAAAAAAAAAGGTGTAAAAGCAAGACACTTTTAAGATGCACCTTTTGGAATCTCTGAGGGTCCTTCTGCAACTCCCTTCTCTAATCTCCACAGAAGATAGTGCTTTTCATCAGCTTCTTTATCTGCTTCAACTAGAGGTGCTGCAACAAAGTTCACACGTACATTCTTGATCAACCAAAAGATGTACCTAACAAGTTTATGATTTAACTAACCAAAATGCCAGCTTCCAGCAATCAAATCTTTTCCCACATCAAAGTGACTTTCTTGCCTTATCGTATGCCAACACACACACACGCTCACACGTCTGAAATAAATACATGGAAAAAGAAGGGAAATAGAATACAGGTAGGCCACCAACAAACTTACCTGTTTCATTGGAAGGAAAAATTCCCCTAAATCCAAGGCAATCTAATCTTGGATCCTTATACCATTCCATCCACATTTATTCCCCCTGAAGATGCCACTCCTGCGTGATCAACAGAACCACCCACCCAACTGATGCAGCTTCTGGTTCTTCAGCAGATGAGGACTTCTCACTAAGGTTCCAACCAAATCTTTGCCAGCAGGAGAAATCTTCTGCAACACTGTCGATATCAACTTTGGACCGCAATCGATATCTGCAGCACTCAGATGAAAAATAATTTAAAACCAAAAAAATCCTCTAAATGGCTCTATCAATGAACTGATAATGCCAAAAGAGTGTAAGAGTCCATTTTGGTACAAAATCCTGGGACTCAGAGCTTATACAGCATTTCACTAAATAATAAATGACCTATATCCAAAAGCTTTTGCACTACACTTACTGATTTGGTCAGACCCATTATGGTCCTTAAGAATACACTTAATTTTCACGTCCAAATGTAATATTAGCATTTCATTATTGCAATACTTGAGAATATGAAACTACCATAGAGGGTATTTCCTTCACTAGTAACGAAGTCAAAGTAAGCTGAAGAGTGATCAGAACAATACGGGAAAGGAAGATTTTCTCTCGTCATGAAAAGTCTATAGTAGGCATCACGCACATGAATAAACAGAAGACTGTCTCCAAAAACAATCTCTTCCTACTCCTCATCGTGTCATGTTTCCGACTCTTTGGCTACTCACAAGACCGATGGTTAAGATAATAAGTTTCTTATTTACCTACAAAGACATATGATGCCACCACTTCTGCCCCTTCTGGCTAGTTAAAAATAAATTGAAATTGACTCACTCTACATTCTTAGATATACTGGCTTATCTAAAAAGCAACAACATCACTTATCCGACTTCTTTCCAATGGCTCGATTAGACAAGGAGGAGCAATTGCATCTGAAACCAAGATCATTTCCCCTGCATTGGCTTGTCCTCAAGTGAGTCAGAGCATTGCAGCAATAAAGGAATAGACTACATAATCTTATCCACCAAAAATCAACACAACAACAAACAACTTATAAAAAGCAAAGATTTATGCTAAATACTCAACAAAGCGCCAGCCAATCATTGCCATATATTCTAACCCTCGTTTTTTCTTAGAGGAAAAAAAAACCCAGCAGTACAAACAAGTATATTTTACTAGGAGATAAACTAAAAGACTTCGCTAAATAATAGCAGATATCACATTTAAATTAAATGCAGTTAATGCAATCTAAAAGTTCATTTAGGCAATCAAACTAAATCATCAAAGTCTAACAGAATCCATATATCCACGAAAAAAAAAAGCTCACTTTTTTAATACTTCCAACAGTTCATCCAAAGAAGAAGCATCTACGTCAGCAAAGAGCTCCAACTCTTCCGGGATAGGCCCAGGACCTGACCCGGTACTGTTGAGCTTCTCATCTGGTTGGGGCGGCCTGTAAAGAAACATGTCGTGCATAAACCTCCCTTGTGCAGTCAATAAAGCTGCGTATACCGGTGGCACTGCCACCCGGGAAGT